GAAAGGAAATAGGAAACTGATTATTTGTGCACATGCGGTACCGCAACTTCACAACTAAAGGCACCGCAGGCGTGGATGGACTGGGAATCCAGGACTGTTGGCCAGCCTCATTCATTACTCATACAGGTTAATTATCTCGTTATCTCAAGAAATCAATAACTGTTTTTTCATGTTAACGAGATAATCATCTTGTTATCTCGAGAAAAATTCTTATTGTTTAACTGTGATAACGAGATAGTGATGTCATTATTGTGTGGCTGTGACACCATCCTGAAGAGAAATATCAGCTGTGCTGCTGCCATAAACACCCTTGTTTATATATCGGCCTGTTTTCCAGTGTGGACCTGTTTCTCTGACTGTGATTAACTGGATGTGCTCTCTTCATCCTCTGACATGGGAGCTGCCTTGGAGCTCGTCTGCCTGGCTGTGTGTTTCCTGGACGGGGCCGCCTTTTACAGCTGCTTTTTCTATGTCTTCTTCTGTCTCCTTGAACCCCAGTGGGCCTCAGCAGATGGCCGCTCACACTGAGCCTGGTTCCGCTGGAGGTTTCTTCCTGTTCAAAGGGAGTTTTTCCTCCCCACTGTCGCTACAAGCATGCTTAGTGTGAGGGATTGCATTCGAGTCAATGAGTCAATGCAATCAGCTGGTTTTCCTTGGATAGAAAACTTTGAATCAATTTGACTGGATGATCTGGTTCAACTCAATGTGTTGTGAATTGGCGCTATAGAAATAAACTGAACTGTTTTATCTCGAAAAGACAGATAAAAATAGCACCCTCCATGAGTGAAAAATATAACATAGGATATTTATTTATTAAAGTAATTATGAGTCTTTAACTTATCACAGATTGCGTCTTTTAGTTTAATAAGACAGTTCCATAAATCATGTCAATATATTCAACTAGTCATGGATGCCTTTAGATCTTTGCAGTTTTTAGTAGCGATAAATTAAAAACTGTTTATTAGGATTTATTATTCTTTATTGGTTAGTTTATAAAAGAAAAATAAACTTTTTTTAATAAAGAAGTACTAATGGTGGTTAAATAGATGGTTATACCATCTATATTATTATACTTTCAAATGTCTGTCCCAGTATTAAAATAAGTTTGCATAAAACATGTGAATCTCATCCAATCTTTAAGAAGATTTGCAGAAACTTTCTTATATTGTTATTATTATTTCATGAGAAGCCATGTTTTATATCACAATTATCAGGTACTACATTTTTTTTTTAATATCAAGTAAAATTTTTTTTTTTAATTTGGCCTAGTCTTAAACAAGAAAAGCAAACTTATGAGGGTAAATCTAAATAACCTTTAGCGTTTTAGGGGATATTTTGAAAACACAGACATACCACAAACACCCGACTCTCAGAATTCTCTGTAACGTCCATATCAGGTTTGTTTGTTGGACCTGAAAGGAGAAATATGGACAAACAGGAAGTCAGTATATGTAAATACTTCAGGATTTTAGGAATCATAAATTTAATGGAGGACTTACTTTGATTCTCATTAGGAACTAGCATGAAGGAGGAAAGAGAATATAAACATTTTCATGACCAGATTAACACTTAGATCAGTATTTTAAATAAATATCCAGTAATGTTTTTATACTTTGAAATTCTCTTGTTGGGACACCCTGCTCTTGATTATTTGCAGCTAAACAGCTAAATTGGTGTGTGATGCTTCATCCAGTTTTTAAAATAATCGTCTAACTGTTGTTATTATGGAATGATGGTCAGTCATAAAACATTTTCAGGAACTCACCTGGAATTTTCCCCTCTGGATCCGACGGATCAAAAGGATTGTCCATAAACATTCCAATAGCCGTGGCCTCGTCCCTGCCAAGCCTGTTCTCCACAATCAGCGTGTAGTTCCCATTGTTGATGTGGGTGGGCTTGTTGAGGAAGAGGCAGCCGTGTTTTACCGACCCGTCATTTGAGTCAGGGATGAACTGGCTGTAGAGGTATTTGGTTTCTCTGATTAGGAAGCCGTTGTACAGCCAGCTGATCTTTGCCTCTGGATTGCCATCCACAGCGAACGGGAAGCACCAGTTGTGCTGCGGCACAGCGTCTCTCAGGAAGATGATTTTGGCTGGAACTGCAGGGAGATGTCAGGTTTGGAGGTTCAGGTGAGGTCAGAGTTTTCCTTTTTGTTACATATCATCTTCATTTCTTTCTATTTTCCTCCTAAAAATACAGATTCTCTTGCAATCATTTGAAGTAATGTGCATCAATAATTCCTATAAATGTTTTATTTTTATCTTAAATGTTTTGGTTCATTTGTCCGTACAATACAGCAGAAAAATGAGCTAGCTTGTTAGGAAATTCAAAAACCAAAACACAAGGCCCCTGAAATTTAAGGAACTTATCTAGTGTGCAACAAAACCAAAATTTTACATGAAGAATGTTTTTAAAAAATATCCAGGCTTAAAATTTTGTGTTTTACC